CATTCGAGGGCGTCTAGCCCAACGGGATTGACGTATTGGTTGAAGATGCCACTTAGCGCTGTAAAGCAAAAGCACAACGTCAAACCTTTGGCGCGAATGTTGTAAGGTAAGATCTCGACAGTGTACGACACTGTTAGGCCGGGCCATGCAGCCCCAGCAACACCATAGAAGAGGAAGATCATAGCTAGGACTGCCCTGCCTGCTGCGGTCGATTCAGTCTTAGCGTACACAGCGCTACAAGCTGTCCAAACACTAAAGGAGATTAACATTCCCACGCCAGCAAACAGGAACAGAATGCGTCGCCCGATGCGGTCGACAAAGAAGGCAGAAATCAAAGAGACCAGGAAGCACCAAATGGTAAGGCCGCCGTTGATCTCAGACTGTGTAATAGAGCTAGAGGCGAGCTTGTCAGTTTAAGGTTGCTATAGCGAATTGGAGAGGGGCAGACGAACTCCGTGAAGCCAATAGTTTTTAACACAGCCGCAAGCTGTATTGAATCGTCAGCATGACTCTAGTACCTGGAAGCAAACCCATTGGGAATACTCACATAGTACGATACTAGTCCGTTACCACTGCATTGTGAGAAGATGGCTGTAAGGATGATCAAGATGCATCGCTTCCGGTTGCCTTTGGTGCGGACAAGTTCAGCCCATCCATTTCCTGCTGCAACTTCCTTCTCTAAGCGTAGAGTATTCTCGATCTCGGCAAACTCCCATTGGACAAAGGCGTCATTTTCTCCATTACCATGGTATTTTATAAGCACCTCTCGAGCTTGTTCGTGCTTTCCCTTGGAGATCAGCCAACGTGGTGATTCGGGCAGAAACCAAATAGCTAGTAACTGAATACCGGGCTATGAGAATATGTCAGTAGTGTCTTTCAAAACGGTAGCTAATATATGATGGCGTTGGCCTAGCCGCAAGGCTTGGGAATACATGCTAAGAGAACAAAAGATAGTGATGGGGATCTCTTACCATCAAACACTGTAGCCCAGTCGGCAATCGCCATTCAACGTTACCGGTGAGGTTTCTAAGTGTGCCAAAGCATACCCACGCCGCAATAATGGCCCCGAGATACCAAAGAGTGTTGTATATTGTCGTAACCTTGCCTCTGTGTTTCGGATGCGCGACCTCCGTAATCAACAGGGGGCACGTTCCATTGCTGATGTTTGACCCAAAACCGATAATGAACCTTCCGACTAGGTACATTGCCTCGGGGTTGTGTGCGGGGGGGAAGGCCTGAAGAAGGGCACCGAGAATGACAAACAAGCATCCAATGGCAGTCCCGGTCTTTCTACCGAGCCCGTCGGCGATGTAAGGCGCAAAAATTAGGACAAAAAGGCCACCGAATCCTGGCATGGCACCGAAGATACCTAGACGACTGCTTGTGGGATGATTAAAGACTAAAATCTCGTCATTAATCTTCGACTACCGGTGAGTGAAACACAATCTATTTTGCTTACAATCTTGCCAGGTGGTCATAGTTTGCAAACCATTCAGTAGACTACCATCATAGCCCAGTGTTGTAGACCCTAGGAAGAGAAAGACCATCATAAAGTAAAGCTCTCTCAGCTTCGATTGTTTGTACCAGGGAAGAGATGACCCCTCCGGGACAAGTGGCAAGATATCGTGAGCCATGTCAACGTGGTGGGTGGTGGACTCGTTGGGCTTGACACCCATGACTGTAAGAGAGAAAACGTCTTGAAATTTGACGCTCCGAATTATGGACTTTCAAAAAAGGATCAGGATGGTATTGGTGTTTTGATGGCAGGCCTGTTTATTCTTGGAGTCGAGGTGCATCACAGACTACTCTTATTATATCCATGAAATGACAGTGATAGGTACTGGTTGCCATCCCCGCGTATGCTTTTCGTCCGATCGGAGGCCACGTCCAGTCTGCCCTGGTGTGCTGTCCCCTGCAGCGGATTTCATGATGCTGGGTTCAAAGATTGCCGGAGCTCGTGGGGAGACCATGAAAAGCTGGAGAACCCCACACTCCAGAACTGGCCATGGTCCATCTTAGTCTGGGGTGAAAGAGGCAAAGCGCAGGCCAGGTGACGAACCATTCTCTCGGTTACTAGTCACCCCATGCCTGGTCTCGACGTGGTCAAGAAACTGAACCGGATTATTCTCGGATCAGTAGTTGAATTTATTGCGTCTCTTTTCAGGGGAATGGGCTATTCTGATTCGACAAACTTGATGCGGTCCAATGGCAACTGACTCGGCACAGAATGGCGCGTCCACGATTTAGCCACCTTTAGTCTAGCTTTGCGCCATGGAGTGCTAGAGGCCCAAACCAAAGTCGTCACATGGTAATTGCCTGGTTGTACATATATCCGACGTTTCTGCGCGTCCTCCACGTAATGAATATCCGATGTTAAATCGAAGTTTGTTTGAGAGTCTGTGACTGCGACTCCGACATTTTGAGCCCAGCCTTCTCTTGGTTCACGGTCCGCCGCCAGGAACCAATAAAAATGGAGGATGGTGTAGTCCAGGGACAGCAGACTCCATCACCACCGAACTCGACAGCTTCGGCTGGCCAGGGAACATCTACATACGAACAATTGAACACGGGCTCAGTGATTCGCAATCAAAATGCGTGCGATTCTTGTCGATCAAGGAAAGTCAAGGTGTGTCTTCTATCACCAATCCCCATGACATCTAGTTTCGTCTACCGTCGGATCCTCGTGCAGAGTTGATCGATCGCCTGAGGCTAACCTCGCGTGCAGTGCCGCTTCAATGGTAATGGAGGAGTGTGCCGCATTTGCGCTGAACTCCATATTCCATGCACATTCGATAAGCCTAGGAGGAGAAGAGGCCCACCAAATAAGTCTGTGACACCTGAACTACGTTCCTAGTCGCCATAACTACCCTAACAAGCCCGTCAGACATGCCGAGGCGATCCGCAGGTCAATCTCGGCTCGAACACCTGAAGCTATCAAGCATGCCGTGACTTATCAGGCATCAAGTCAGGCCTCACCCGCGGAGACAGTCCAGACCTCTCCTGGGCCTACAAGCACTAGCGCAGTAGTATCGGGACATTGGCTGGCCATGTTTGCTCCGATAGCCACCATTGACCACCTTCTAGATGAATGGTTCAAGCAGATACACTCAGTTGCCCCTATTCTTCATCGACGGCGGTTCTTGCGCCGCTTGAGGCGAGGAGATGCGGATCGCGATAAGATATTTTGCGGGCTGGTCGTCAGCGTGTGTGCAGCGACTGTGGCAACACTAAGAAGATCGAATTATGAGCCCGTTACAATACAATTTTGCGTAGAGTTTGTAGAACGACATCAGCTTCTTTACCGTGGTCTTTTAGAGGCGATTTACTCTCTTGACTGGTGCATCGCGATGTACAACCTTGGAAGCGCCATGGGGTCAATCTCAGGGATGGATGATCCCAGAGCATATCACATGGGATGCGAGTCAGCGGCAGGTGTTAGATTTCTGGCATATTATCATATGTCAGGTCTGGGTATTCCAGATCAACAGTTGCTGAAAAGGCTGTTCTGGTTGCTATTTGCTTGGAGCTGGTTCGTTCAGCAAGACCCTGATTAGAAACCTTCTGGGCAAACTAACTCAATCGTACCACCAGCTCAGCAGATCTCTTTGGAAGGATATCACTTGCACTCTTCATGTGCGAGGAACATTTCAACAACTTACGTCCACTATCCCTCACCGACGAGCAGCTGGACCCGGACACATCCGACATGTCTGAACTCGCCGGAGGTATTGAAACGTCGCACGTAGACAATACCTCATACATTCCAGGTCTACTAGCCTTAAGCGATCTCTTCATGGTCTGGCGTAGCTGTCGGAGACAGGCTCAGTCCACACCAAGCCAGCCATCCAGGGAGATCCTCTCGGAGCATCTGACTAATGTTCAACGCATTATTGACTCCTTACCACCCGAACTTCGATGGCGTGGCGGTTTGTCACGTCCGCGGCACGTAACGCAGGGCCATGATGTTCAGATCGCAAACATTTTCATCACAAGCCTCCATCTCAAGTCCAACTTAATCCAGAAGTTTGGCCCAGCGAATGGCTGTGGAGACGAGCACCAGCGTATTGTAGATGATCTCCTAGAGATCCTCTACCATATGCCCCACGCAATTTTCGAGGCAAATGGAAGTAGTATTGTGCCAAAGATTCGGGATATTGGAGCAGCGTATCTAGAGCAAGTTCGCAGCGGTCATGATAATGGAGTTTGGATCAGCGATACAGCTAAAGGGAAGTTGGAACGACTTCTTCGAAAATTAGATGATCTAGACTTGTGGCCCAGCACGTCATTTCAGGAACAAGCACTCGCTGAAAGCCCCCATAGTCTCGTTTCTATGCCGACCTGACAAAAGACGCTAAATCTCGGAATCTCAGGTATTGCATCGGGTAAATGATGCGAGTTGTATGTCTTGTGCTGATTTTGCAACGGCACTTGTGAGGAGACAGGATTTGGAAGTTGGGCACACGGAGCAATTGGATCGTTGGAAACTGGTCAGAGAGCGCTCCAATCAACAGCATGCACTTCCACAATGGAATCCGATAGACGTTGATCACGCATCACCGAAGACGCGTGCAGCTTTAACTGGAGCCCCGCTCTACTCCCTCAAAATGAACTGCATGATCAAATAATGAGCCCTGAAGTCACATTATCCTCGGAGTGTGGCATGATCGCGGAGAAGCCCCTGCAGCACTAAGGTTGTGCCATCGGATGTGTTTTAGAGCATCCGAAGTTTATCCTAGGCTTATGCTCCAGCGAATTAGCGACCCCTAGCACCATACCATACCTACATGTGGGATGAGGGGGATCAGCAGCCCTGGAGGCCGCGATGATGCAGAGTTGGGCCAATCTGCCGTGTCCATTTTGTGTGCTCCAATGAATCGGTTGTAATCGATACATCGAAGCAAGCTATTTGAATCTCAAATACGAAAGATGAACTCGTTACTCCCATCTGCCCTCCCCAAAGGATCAGGCTCCTCGACCTCAGAGTGTAACTTGCTGCAATCATGACAGCGTCGGAGATCATTGTGCCCCGCGAGACGGCCGTGCCTTCACAATCACAACAGATACAGCTGAGAAACATACCGCACCTGCGAAAGACCGACAATGGCAATACCCACCTCATTGTTAAAGGCAAGCCTTTCCTCATGCTCGCAGGCGAGCTGCACAACTCCTCGCTCAGCTCAGCAAGATTCATGTCAGAGGTTTGGCCTGCGATGAAGAGCAATCACATCAACACACTGCTCGGCTCTGTGACGTGGGAGATGATTGAGCCGGAAGAGGGCCGCTTCGACTTCTCTGAGCTCGATCGCGTCCTTGCCGGCGCTCGCGAGCACGACATGCATCTTGTTCTCCTCTGGTTTGGCACATACAAGAACGGCGTCTCAACGTACGTACCGCGATGGGTGAAGCGCGACACTAAGCGTTTTCCCCGTGTGCATGTCTTGGAGGCTGGTGGCGTCAAACGAACACTGGAGATGATATCACCATTAAGCGAGGAAGCGTGCAAGGCAGATTCGCGTGCATTTGCCGCGCTCATGCGTCATCTCAGCGAGGTAGATGGAGAGCATACCACCGTCCTTATGGTCCAAGTCGAGAACGAAACGGGCCTGCTCGGTGATTCGAGGGATCGATCCCAGACGGCGGAGAAGGCTTTCGCTGAGCCTATACCGGAGCCTCTTCTGGAATACCTGACCACGACAGATTTGCACCCTCGCTTCAAATCTCGATTTTCAGACGTTCCGGCATCGGGCACGCATACCTGGGAGGATGTATTTGGTGCAGGGATCAGAGCTAATGAAGCGTTCATGGCATATCATATATCTAAGTACGTGGGACGGGTAGCCGCTGCAGGCAAGGAGCAATATCCGATACCGCTTTACACCAATACATGGCTCAATTTCGACGACCCCAGTTCACTTGACCTCCGAGGTCTTCCAATCGTCGTCGGTGGTGGTGCTGACCCAGGAATCTACCCTTCCGGAGGACCTTGCCCTCACGTACTGGATATCTGGCGTTTTAACGCTCCAGCCTTGGATTTTCTGTCGCCAGACCTGTACTTTCATGACTATGAGGGGGTGTGCCAAGATTACTCTGCACAGGGTAATCCTTTGTTCATCCCGGAACAACGACGTGACGAGAATGGCTCCCGTCGCGTGTGGCTAGCCTTTGCAACGTACGGAGCACTTGGCACTGGTCCGTTTGGTATTGACACTGGCGCGGAAACCGTGGGTCGAGAGTACAAGCTCATCGCGCAAACACAGTCCTATCTGATGGCAGCAGCTCCTCAAGATCGCATGGGCTTCTTCTTTGACGAGGAGGTTGACCATAGTGGACGTGCAAAAGAGAAATGGACTCGAGTGTTCGGTGATATCGAGGTTATAGTCGAGCGCTGCTTTGTTTTCGGCAAACCAGGACCTGGCGGAGGTATGGTCATTCATCTCGGAGACTCTCGCTTCTTGTTGGTTGGGCGTGGTTTCCACACCAGATTCAGAAGTGTGCGCAAGGAGGCCACTTTTACAGGAATTCTATACGCAGAAGAGAAGGAGGTAGATGAAAACGGAAAACTCAAAACTCTTAGAATATTGAACGGAGATGAGACAAGGAGCGGCGAGTTTCTCATGATGCCGAATGACGATCCGGACTACGGAGGCTTCCCGATTGCTGTGACGGTCCCAGCGAGGACATGTATAGCAGAGGTTGAAGCTTACTGGGTCGCGGAGACTGCCGAGGACATGTAATTTTGCCGAGTAGTGCCATTTCTACATTGTATATTTACATAGATTGAGCCACTCATAGAGATTCCACACAATCTTAACGATTAGATACATGATCAAGATATGGCATACTAAGATGAGATGATGTTAGTCCCCGGCAACGTCGGGATACTCAATGCCCCCAACCCACACCTTTGCAATCTTCTTCGTGTTGGAAATATTTACAAGTGGATCAGCGTCTAGTAACACCAAGTCAGCACGTTTTCCAACCTCGATCGTGCCTCTGTCATTAAGGCGATGCACTCGAGCTGTTACACTAGTTGCCGCCCGCAGTGCCTCAGCTTCAGACAGCCCAGCCTCTACAAGATTTGCCAACTCAGAGTGTAATGTAGGACCAATTGGTATGGTGAGGTTGGCAATAGGCGATTGGAAGTCCCCTACAGCATCTGTACCTGCTGTAATGAGCACCCCAGCCCTGTGCAGCATGCCCACATTCTCCACAACGACCTCCCAGGAATCATTGCTTGTGGTGCTTCCTCGAAGAATTTCAATAATGATCGGATTTGCAAACGCTTGGCGGAAGATCTCCATCGTTGGTGTAGACCATTGCTGTCCTTTCTTTGCGACAACAGCGGCGACTGCGCTATCAGAAAGCAAGCTGTCAGAAGCGATATGTTGTATACCATCGGTATTCGAGGCAATCGCCATCATATACGATTTCAAGTCAGAGGCATGTGTCATAGAGACTTGACCCAATCGATGGACCTCACTGACCAGATCATTCTGCAGCTGCTGTGACAATCCGGGCTGCTTAGAAACGATCTTATAGTAGTCGGAACCATTTCGGAAGGCTTCATCAACGAACTCAGCGGCATTGTCTCCATCACTGACCATGATACCAGTGGCAGTGCCCACAGTTATTGGTGTAAGTGGACTATTTGCGGCTCTACCGGATGAAAAGAGTGTTGCGAGGCCGGCGCCTTTAGGGGTTCGGGGATAATTTGACAGCGCGTGACACTGGGTATAATTGCTGCACGCCATGTTGAATGCGGTCGTCACCCCCCATGCCGTGAGATTCTCCAAGCCAGCAACATCAGGAACATGGATATGTGCATCCATGAGGCCTGGGATGAGTACTCTGCCGCCGGCGTCGATCGTCTTTGTTGCGATGCAAGGCGGGAAAGGGTGGCTGATGCGCTCGCCGTCGATGTAAATCTTTTGCGCGTCTCCAATCTCATAACCATCAAATACTCGGACGTTAGTCAAGACGGTCTTCTCGGAAGTCTTGCCGGGAATGCTGCGCCGGGCAAGAAGCTGCGCGTCATCAACACTCCGGAGTTGGTGGCAACCACAGGCCGTGGCCACCTTCAAAACACATGCTGTGGCCGGGAGAAGTGCTCGAAACTTCATGGTCTCACGTTTTCAAGTTATTTTGAGCAAAAATATCAATCGTGTAGGCCAGCGAGTTGAACATCGCGCATACAGCTGAACTTATTATACTTTTGAGAATCATCATAACCTGCTTCACCTCTCTTGAAAGCAATGTCAAGTCGAAATTTCCTTCTGCCCCGCTTCGCCGTACACTAAACTCATAGAAGACGCCTTAAACCTCATGATAAATAGTCTTACATCAACCATGCCCATGAAAGGCTTCGACTTCGAATCGGCGTTAGTCGTGTAGCCAGCGTTATTGGAAATATTCGTGTCTGGAGGTGAAGTGCTGGCAAAGATGCAGATGCCGGCGCCGACGAAGCGGCGATGGACCCAGTTCTTGGCACGTAAACTAAACCGAATCCATCACCTCTGCAGCGCCACAATATGCGTGGTCCAACTGGATCCTGCCGAAATGCCTCCCAAGACTCTCCGTGGTGCAACTTCCTTGCAAGCATGACGACCTTTCCGCCATTCGCGGAGTCTCTGGATGGGTTGATACCGTCTTACTGATGTTCTTCGCTCAGACGACGCTGGTGTGAGCGCATACCCGCATACCCGTAGCTGCTTTCTTCTTTGCGCTATGTTCGCTAGGTCAGCACACACCAAGTCCAGAAATGGATGTAGTCAGTGTAAGAAACGGCATATCAGGGTCAGTCATACAGCGCGCTACACGGAGAGATGACTTCCACTTCCAGTTGCTGATAATACTGTAGTGCAATCTTCAGGCCCCAGTATGCGCTAACTGCAAGAAACGCGGCCAGACGTGTGATTATCAGTCCCTCCACACGGATGGCCCGATCCTTGTGAGACATGTTTCGCGCATATCACCTGCGTTGTCGTCACCCAATGTGTTCTTTTCGGGGCAGATATATGTCCCCGGCCGCTTAGACGTCGGCCCAGCGAGACTGCTCTCTCTCTACGACAGTGAAGACATCATTTTCAATAATGAGTTCGCCCATGCTGTGGTCTCCGGGAGCCAGCGATTCCTCGAACATAACCTCCTCGCCATTGGCTCTCTCTACTCGCATGTTCGGTCGCCGGTGTCCACGCCGGAGTTGTATGTCGCTGCTTTATCTCACCATATGGAGGCATCGCGCCTCTTCCGGCGGTCGGTGAAACAAGTCACAGAGCAGAACTGGGTAGCAACCTTGGGCTTTGCGATATCCGTCGTCGTGTTCCAATTGAATATCTGTCGCGGAAATGACATGCAAAGCATAATGGAGACTATGTTCGTTCTCCGCAATGCAGCAGCCATAGCACAGATCCTGGCGCCGTGGTATAATCGCAGTCGAATACGTGTCTTGGTCGAAGGTCAAATGCACGAATGCGATTCTCCCACTTGGATGGCTGAGGTCATTGATGCGCTGAACAATCTCGAAAAGTTCAATGCTGCAGACGTCTCCAGCGACTTTACGCAAGAACAATGCCGCAATGCAACCAACGCGCTTCGACAATGGGTCCTCAGCATGAACGGCTATCCGCGCGCGTGGACACATTTCCTGTGGTGGCCGGCCAACGTGTCAAAGGCGTACCTCAAGCTGCTCGCCGCATGCGATTCCGATGCTCTTGTTGTGTTTCTCCATTGGTGCGCCATAATGACGCGTGCCCCGAAGCGGTGGTTCTTGGACGATTGGGCTTCGACTGTCGCTATGGCAGCTGTCAGAGGCCTTGGACCAGAGTGGGATGCAAACATCGAATGGCCGCTTCGGGTACTCGGCATCGGACCCGCCAAAACCTTGCCGGGTTCGAGGTCTAATGCTACTCTGGATAATGACATGACAGAGTGTTCGTGAAATTGCTGGGCTTCTACGCTGAACCATCTATCGCGCGGCTAGAACGAACAATGGAGAGTTTTGGGCACTTCTTGCGATTTCTTCAGCTGTTAATGACAGCCAAGCACTGTGTTTATCCCTTATTAGAGTATTCAGACTGACTGACGGCGATCAACCACGACGATTGAGCCCGTATTGCTTTAGATAAGCTCCGAACAAGTCAACACGTGGGTCGGCAATCCAATAAAGGAGTACGGAGGGCCTTATCCTATCTCGTTTCAGGCAACCAACCATCTTGAAATCTTTTGCGGCGCGACCGTTCTGTCAACAGGGTCTCTTCAGCTGCATCACTAAGTATTTGCTATCAGGGAAGGTGATTGGGTTCATATTGATTTAGCGATCTTGGCTACTTGGCATTGTTGACGCTTGGCCAAAAGCGCTGTTAGGCCTCCAACCAACGGTGAAGGGGTCTAGATACGCCTGAAATTGCGGCTCGCTGTCTGCACAGCTTTTGGTCGTATGACTTTGGGTCGATATTTTTCTATGACTGAAACTTCCAACATGCCGCCGTGACCCGCCGTGACTCTCACGATATGCCACGAACAAAATCCTGAACTATGCTTTCCATATAGCCTGGCAACAGTGTCAGGCAGTTAATTGCCATCCATGCCATATCCCCCCGCACCTGTGCGCCGTCAGGCGCAAGAACCACCAAAGGCAGCCAGTGGCGCACTGCGATATCACAAGTCAACGGCAATCATAGTCACTATCTATCTTGCAATACTCATTATACCATGGGTTGTAACTTGCGTGTTGGACGTCAAGCCGATGACTAGACGAGGAAAATCTTATTTTGATGGCAGCCATGGCAATTACTCCCAAAGAGATATCAACGATGTCATAAGGTGGATGCGAGCAATACGATGCTTGAATCTATTAGCTGCCGTTGCTGCTGTGCCAGTGGTACTCAGGGTCATCTCTCATGCTATTGTTGTGCTAATGCAGCGACGCAAGGATGGACAGATGTTGAGCTTGTACAAGCTTTTGTCATTGGCTGACCTTCCGTGGACAACGCATTGGAAACCCTTCATTACCTCCAAAGGGCTTATGGTATCCCTAGCTTGTCTGATAGTAATCTGTATGTATTTTCTTTTCGTACGCAGACATGGACTGACACTGCCGACAAGTTATAGTTCAGCCGCCCCTCCAGGCGGCTCTTGTGAATACAACGGATATCCACGTCGCAACCTGCCCAGACGTTCCGAGTGGTGTGGGAAACCATGTCCGTGCTGTATGTGGTTATGTGTACGGCAGCAATTATCGCGTGGTTGGTTATGACCCTGAGCCAGCCGATTTGGCCATCTTGCCTGTTGGCTATGTATACCAAAAGCTGCGCCCTAATTTAGTGGCGTACCCTCTCCCAGCCGTCTCTGGTAACTCATTCGCGTAAGTATACGTGTCATAGTCTTGGTGTGGACAATATCTAAATTTCTTGTAAGCTCTGCCGTTCCTATGGACACATACACAGGTGTTCTGCGGTACCTGGCCTTAGGTCAGAGCTCCTCTGTCCAATGCGAGCCCATTGAAAGTGTCAACTTCCTAGAACATTGCGGCGGCACAAATTCCCTAGAACTAAATTATACTACTCCGAATCTCGATGTTCATATATGCGCACCCGCTACGACTACGAAATCCTCGTGGGAAGTCAACCGAAGCCAACAAAACCTGACTGAGGAATTCTTTTTGGATGTTGTCGTTCCAAGCGATTCCAACGCAACATCATATTACAACGATGGTGGCTTTTCCATACACTGTGTC